CACACTCTCTCTCTCTCTCTCTCTCTCTCTCAAATAAAAAAAAAAAAAAATTATTACAATTTACCCTCAAATAATTAAGTTTCGTGAGACACAGAGGAATGTATAATAGATAATAATACTGTGATAAATCATAGATGAGGGATATGAGTATGACTTTATGGGAATGAATGCACTCATTTTACATATTTTTATGGACTCTTTTCTCATCTTTGTGGTCTACAACCTTGCTATGCACAGTGAGGTAGCAGCATCTATACCATTTCAAAGCTTATTAGAAATGCAGAAATGTCAGGTCCCACCCCAGACCTACTAAAGCAGAATCTACATTTTAATATGGCCCCAGATCACCTATATGTAAAGTCTGAGAACCAACGTTTCCTAAGATATAGATGGAAATAACATGATTAAAATAATAAAAGTGATTCTGGGTATAATTTCTATTCATAATGACTTAAGTAAATCATGGTTAACAGTGGGAGAACAAACTCATTCAATTATCAGATGATGGATTATATTGCATGGAAATACTGCTATATGAGGCTTATTTTTTCTTTTTCATGTAAGATGATCTAAATTATCCACATCTCTTTTCTTCTTCTTCTTCTTCCTCCCCCCCTCCTCCTCTCCCTCTCCCCCCTCTTCCTCTTTCTTCTCCCCCTCCCCCTCTTCCTCCTCCTCCTCCCCTTCCCCTCCTTCTTCTTCTCTCCCTTTTCTTTTCCTAATGGGGATAGAACTCAGGACTGTAAGCCTGCCAGGCAGGCGCTTATGCCCCTGAGCTATCTCCCCAGCACTAGCTCTTGTCTTCTTTAGACCTGTTTAAGTTCCTTTAATAGCTGTCAATTATCTTTGATAAAAGGATAAACTGACAGTAGTTAAATCATCTACAAATTACACAGAGTATAAAAAGAATCATGTATGTAACCTTGAGCCACCCAAGGTCACATTTAAATTTCTTTATGAAAGTTAAGAAAGATCTCAGGAATTGTAATGCCTTTTTATATACATAAGATAAGGAAGTGCATCAGAACCAAATATAAAAAATTCCTTTTAGAACTAAAAAACCCCCAAAACACCAGTGGCTCATCCAGTCATTCTAGACACACATTTCTCTTGCTATGAGGAAGGTGTTTACGTAAGTATAAGAACTGCTAGACCGCCTTCAACTGTGCCTACAACTCCCAGATTCTCTCTGCCCACAAACTCCTTTCTCCAGATCTCAACAGCATTACCTTTAGTTGCTGCTGCAGTTCACTATTCAGTCTGGCCAGAACTGTGTTGGTCTCCTTATTACGTCGAATTGATGCCTGAATAGCTTTTTTGTCTTTCCCAACAGACCTGAGGAGATAAAAGGGGCAAAAAACTACCTTTATTTCTTTCAGTTCTCTTCATTTTCCCCTGACCTAATTCTAATCGTAGATAAAAGAAGTATCTTTCCCTTACTATTAATTAGCACAGCTCAACCTCACTTGCCTGCTTTGGATGGCAACCAACGATCTAAGCTTCTGAAACTTCAGGCTAACGTGTTAGTGTTCTAATTACTATTATGTACCTGAAATGTTTTGTTTTGTTTTTTAAAAATTTTTTTCTATTTAATTATTGGATACAGAGTCTCACTATGCAGCTCAAACTCGTAGTCATCCTCCTGTCTCAGCCTCCCCTCCCCAGCACTGAGATTACAGGTGTGTGTCACCACACCTGGTTTTGGGGCTGGCACAGCACGCCGGGGGTTCTAGAACTGGCACGGCATGTGGTACTGGGGACTGAACCCGGGTTCTTGCCCTTGTCAGGCAGGAACTGAGACCACTGAACTATCTCCCCAGACTGTATCTGAGTTATAAGTTAAATAATGTAGAGCATGCACTGGCAAACTTTTTCTATAAGTAGCCAGATAAATATTTTAGGCTTGTTGCACACCACAGTTTTCAGTTGCATATTCCATTTTTCTCCTTCTATTTCACAAAAATGTATAATATGGACTATACATAATAAAGACACAGACCAAATGCTGCTCAGGCGCCTTAGTTTGCCAAAGCCTAGTCTAAGACAGCCATAATTAAAATATAATTCACAATATCAACTTTAAAAAACTCCTGCTTTTTCTTATGATAGAGTATTAAAATGGTATTGGAGTTGAAAGGAGAAAAAAAAGGAATATTCCACATCCTAAGACACAAGAAAGCTCTTTAAGAAACCGTGCTCAACCAAAGAACTAGTATGACACGAGTTTCTTTCAGAGTAGAGCTTCTCATCATGCTTTTTGTGCCTAGTAACTAAGTGTGTTTAGGAATAGCTTTGATTACCTGGGAATAGAAGGCTGTGATGCAAGAACAGCGGCTAGGACACCTGTCTTCTGCGTGTGTTCATCAACGTCTGGCCTTAACTCATCTTCTGATTTTAGTCTTCTTCTAACAGGTTTAGGTGGAGGAGCAAGAGGTGTTGTGCCTTTGCTCTGCAAGACAAGAATTACATTAATCATGAACATTTCTTCCAGATATTATGATTAACACTTTGCCATCACTGCTTTTTTTAAAAATCAATCAATCAATCAATCAATCAATCAATCAATCAATCAATTTTCCTTCCTTTTATTGGATACAGGGTCTCACTACACAGTTCAGACTGATAGTGATCCTCCTGACTTGGCTTCCCAGCACTGGGATTACAGGTTTGAACCACCACGCCTAGTTTCATTGCTGGTATGGCTTGCCAGGGGTCAGGGTTCTGGGGCTGGCAAGACATGCGGTACTGGGGATTGAACTCACATCTTTGCACTTGCCAGGCAGGTGCTTAGACCACTGAGCTATCTTCCCAGCTCCCATCACTGCTTTCTTTAAGCCACTTGCTCTCAAAAACATCAAAGCTACATGTCCTACTCTAAAACAACTTGCTGCAGCAGCTAACTTAAAAGTACAAAAGGAAAAGATGGTTCTAGTTGAAGTCACAATCAAACATACCTACAAAACAAATACTTTACAAAGTAACATAAGCTCCTTGGGGAGTGAATCTGACTCAAGTGCAGTAGTCAAGTTTTAACATAAATATATGCTCAAAATACCTACTCGATAAATAATGGAAGCCTCCAGAAAGAAGCACCCATTATCATTGCAAGGATCCCTACCTACTCAATGCCATACCATCCTGAAAGAACCACCTGATCTTGTCTGATCTTAGAAGCTAAGTAGGGTTGGGGCTGGCTAATACTTGGGTAAGAGAATTCCCACTTAAAAGAGGCTATTTCATCTAAATGAAATAACGGCATCATGTTTTTGATTTTTCAGACAGGGTCTCGCTATGCAGTTCAGGCTGAGCCCAGGGTTGCCTCATCCTCACAGAACTTCTCCTGCCTCAGCCTCCCAGAGTGCTGGGATTTCAGGCATGCAGCACCATGTTCAGCATAAAATAAATTATCATAAAGATAGAGGAAGGCTGGCAATTCTTAAATGCCACTAAAATGCAAAGTAACTAAGCTTCTTGACATTGAGCTAACATTTTGTTGGAGATTATGAACCTGCTTCCAATATGATTAAATAGGGTATTTCAGTATTTATCATAACCTCAATGTAACTGTAAATTAAAAATAGAACCAACTGTTACCTCTTTAGTTAACTACTATCCAAAATCTATTGCCCTGAGCTGAAAAAAATAAAATTCACTATTAAAAAAAAAAAAATCACAGCTGGATGTGTTGGCGCATGTCTGGCATGCCAACACTCTGAGGATAAGGCAGAACAGACACAAATCCAAGCTTAGCCCAGGTAACTTGGCAACTCAGGCCCTGTCTTAAAAAAAGAAAAAAAGACCGAAAAGATTCTGGGTTCAATCTCCAATATCATCAAAACAAAAAAAGTGAAAACAAAAATTCCTCACATCCCCAAACGATGTGAAGACACGCTGGCTACAACATCTGCCACCCCACTGACTGCCAGGGCTGACGTGGCTGGTGAGGTGGGTGTCCCCATCCTTCCTCACCGCTCCACGTGCGTCCCACCCGACAGGAGGATCACTTCCCTGTCACTGGCATATGAGCAGCTGCACTCCCCTGCTAGAACTTCCAAACAAGCTCTCAAAACCTCAAAATTACTAGCATAGTAAAATTTAAGTGTCAAGAAAATAGAGTTTAAGTGCTTTCTGAAAAATGTAATAACCTCACCCATATTAAGAACAGGTGGCACACACTAGCTCGATTCAACAGACAGACCTTGTTCTGAGACAGACTAAATCCACTGCATTTAAATCTGATAGGATGGCTTTGAAAATTTCTAGTTCACTTTATTTTTAAAAATTATCTCCCATGTACAGAGCTATCCATATAAAAGACTTTTTGCATACCACATTGGCAGGAGCACTAGCAGCTGTCTTTTCTTCAGTTTTACTATCTGTTTTGGCAACTCGGAGAGAACTCGCAGGATCAGATGCTTTCTCAACCTGGGATGAATATATTATTACGGTTAACTATGCATAAGTAATACATAGCTATGAATAAATGAGGCATATACAGCAAATCAGAGCAAAACATGAAGAAAATGTTTATTCTGACAAGAACTCTGAAATGAGGTCAAGCAAAAGCCTGAAAGGTCTATGCAGCAGGGAGGGCGAGTGACGAAGCAGCACTGCACACTGCAGCTGTGGGTGGTACCGCCCACCCGGGTGGGGCCCACTCTCCAGCATCTGTGTGCATCTGTGCCTGCCCTCAGGCCAACCCATTTTCCTCAGGGCAGCCCTTTCCCCTATGGACTGAGTACAGAAAGTTATAGGTTTGAAGAAGTAATAGAAATCTTCTATAGATCAAATATATACAAAAATTTAAATTATGCCAGTCAATTAAATATGAATTCCCAGAACATGGCTTGAAACAGAACAGATTTTAGAATTCCTCTGTTCCCTCCAACTACACATTTATACACAATGATTTAGGTCAGCTATTTCTAGAGACATCTGTTGACACTTCCTGCAAGGACGCTAGTCGGCACTGCATAGTATGTCCAACTAAGGCAACTTGTATGAACTGAGTGAAGTCACAGCTTCTTATTCCATGAAAATCCTCATCTAATCACACGATCACCCTCAGCATTAAACTCTCAGATCAATGTTTCAGCCAGGACCAAGTATTCTTGTCTTCACATAATAGTGCCTGACCTAGATTCTAATTTTTAGCAAACAGGGATTGGTGGCCAATAAGGCTGAATAACGTGTTGATCCAGGGAATACAAGTCTTTCAAAAGAAGCAGATGATGATATTTCACTCTCTGACCTTCCCACTGATTACCCCCTCCCCCTGCCCACCAGGCTACTGGAGCTCCTGTTTATGGATAAGACTTAGAGCAGTGGGAAGAGACTGCCACAGATCAGCTATAAGCCCTTGACAAACTGACCGGCAAAACCTCTGCATGTTTCTCAGCTTCATCATCTTGTTCTTCATTTACATTTGATGCAGCAAATACTTCAAATTGGCTGAAATCCGCAAAATTTGGTTGCTCTGGTATCTGCTGAGGTGAGGTACTAGTGTGAGTTATTAGGCCATCGGCATCCACTGGGCGATGAACAACAGGACCAGGAGCCTGGGCAGTGGTTTAGAACAGAGGACACACACTTACTGGAGCATCAATGGCAGAACAACCTTCTTATTTCTCCTTTAAAAATACAATAAAATCTATTATGGGGGCCTGCCCCTTAGCTCAGTTCTTTAAGTGGCTGCTTCAACAAAGCAGTCAGGCTCAGGTTGCTGTGGTTCGATCCCTACAACTCAAGCCAGCCAAACCTGCCCTGACGGCATTCAGAGCCAGCCCCCCCGCCCCCCGCAAAAAAATCTATTACAGATGAATTTTATTATCTGTAAATTTAAGAAAGTACACTACAGTTAACATGTAGCTATAATGCTTGAACAGTAAGTAAAAAGCTAAGATACTAAAAAAATGAAGATGCTAAAGCCTCAATAAAAAGACAGCTTTTCAAAAATTTTATTGCAAAGTACAATGGAAGAGAGGGGAGGGTCTGGTCCTGTCCCAGTTCTCCACTTGGATCTACATTTTTCTAAACTGGGCAGCTGCATAATAATTTGTTCTCTTAAAAAGTTACTTTTAAAAATGTTTGTTAAAAAGGTAGTTATTTTTAAAGCATAAAAACCACTGTTTCACTCCTCTCTCTACATGTCAGGCGCACTGGTCTTCCATTCAGACGCCCTTCTCTGGTGCACCAATGTGGCTACAGTCTTAAGAGTCTACTTCGTGCCAGGCACTACAAAGTCAACAGTGGAAAACATACCAAAGGCCCACTTCTCATAAAACTGACAGTCCAGTGCAGGATTAAGAGGTAAGTAAAGAAGGAGCTAATACAGTGATGAGAAGTTTCATGACAAAGGAAGTAAAGAATGCTGTAGGAACCTTGTCGTCCTTCATTCTTTAAAATTCTCTAGTTCCCAAAAGAAAAATCCTAATCTTCCATGTGTAAGATGCTCTGCTTCCTCCTGATCTCTAGTTTCGTCTCCCGTCATCCCACATGTCTACTCCAGGTGTACTGAATCAACCTGTCTTTCCCTGAAGAATCTGCTAAGCTCCTGCCCACCTCTGAACCTGTGCAGATACCGTCTCTTCTGTGTGGAATGCTCTCTCCACAGGAATCAACATTTTTACCTTCAAGTCCCTGCTCAAGTCTTATTTCATCTTACTTACACCACTGCAATGTGGCCCTTGACTTTACCAGTCACTAAAGTGGTCCCAAAGCATTTAGCAATACATCTAGTGCAGCTCTCCAATTCTAACCTGGGAGGGATGCAGAAAATAGAAGTCATCCTCCATTCCTCACTGGTGTGGTAACACATCCGGAGAGGACACTGGGTCACTCTGTGAGTCACTACTAGACCCCTAATCTCTCATATCTCCTATCTTCTTTTCACTAAGCTCTCCATTGTTAGGATACTATCCTCTGCTTTATCTTTAACATTCTTTCAAAGGATACCCCAGATTATAATATTCTTATTTTCTACAATAATATTTAGCTTAACTAAATTAAATGTTGACTGAGGATAATTATTAGGTAACTCCTGGTCTTCCAAATCACTGCGAACTAGCAGCAGACAGGCTTAAGAGCTGAACCGACCGCAGGCTGACCTGTGGTAGGCCATGCACAAGGATTACCTGCGAGGGCTGCGGTCTTGGAGGCACTGCAGGAGGATGGGCAACAACTCCAGCCTGTTGCTGTCCTGTGTGAATACACAAGTCAACTGTTTAGTAAATACATAATCACTCTACTAACAGAAGAAATAGGCTGAATGATAAAAATTTTTAAGAATGCTTGATATATGTCTGAAGGTGGCTAGTTACTCAGAAAATGGTTTATATGTGTCACCATGTCCAAATTTCATGGCCTCTTTCCAGGCTTCATTCCTCCTACTGCCTGTCACACAAGAGACTCCTGACAGTCCTGCCTAATTCTGACAGGGTACATTCTTGGTTCCCCATCCCACCCCATACTTCTCTTTGCTCCTTCATTATCAGATATGAGGACTTCCAAACTTCTTGTATTTAAGCCTTTATTCTGCTATTTCTATGTAAATGATTCTCAAATACTACATAAATCTTTCTAGGCCCAGCTATCCCATAGCCTATTGATTATACTTTTTCTTCACCATTCCAAACTTACAGTGACTTAAAGTATCATCATCCTCTGCCCTAACTTTTCTATTTTAATCAGTGTAATAACAACACTGCTACTTGTGTAAATCTTGAAGTTCTGGAGTTATGACTTGTTTCATCAGATGAACCACATACTTTTAAACTTCTTGTGGCATTCCTCGGATTCCCATCTTTATTACTTGTACTTGCACTACCCCTAGCCTTGTCCCTCACATTATCTGCCACAAAAAAACCCTCCACTTATTTGGCATTTTTAATTCACATTTTTCTTCTGATAAATATAACAAGATCTATTAAGACAAATGGAATAAAATGCTGTGTCATGGATTACCTTTAAGACTAAACGATAATGCATATTATGGTTTTTCTGCCTTACCTGGGGTGACTGTAAAGGTCCGATTCATGTCTAAGGAAGAAGACCTAGAATGAGAGGGCTGCGGCCTTGGAGGGGGAGGCGGTGGTGCAGTGTTATCGGGTGATGCTCCAGAATGAGACCTGCAAAATTCAACCATCACAGCTGGTTATGCTACTGACACTGGGCTTCCCTTTTAAGCATTCAAACATGGCTAAGCAGCAAAGGGCCATACTACCACGATGTTTTCAGAAGTAGTACCTATACAAGTATCACAACAAATAATAAATTGTAAGTAAATAATAATTTGTGCTATTTTCTAAATGTGTTGTGTGCATTTTCTTGGTACTGGGGATTAAACCCAGGGATGCAATCTACTAAGGAACTACACCCCTGCCGCTCTTCCCTCCGTACCCCTTCGGTGGCACAGGACTAACTCAGCTAGAGTTGCACTAAGCTAGATCACCAGCCCTTTATTTTTTATGAGATAGGATCTGGCTAAGTTGCCCAGGCTGGGCTCAAACTCTCAACTTCCCCACCTCAGACCCTCAGAATGCTGGGAGTACAGTGTCACCACACTGGCTCCTGGTTCTTTTGTTTTTTGACACAGGGTCTTGGTAAGCTGCCCAGGTTGGCACTGACCTTATACGCCTCTGGGCTTACTCTCCTGAGTAGCTAGGTGCACACAACGCTGGCACAAGTGGTTATTTCATGTGGCAAATAATTATTTTATAAAATTGTATCTTAAACAAAACTTCAAAATTTGAAGTTTTTTGTTCACATGATTTTAAGACTACATACAACTTAATAATACTTTTCCATTTAGCTAAAGGTAACATTAATTTGAAAAATTCTGTCCAAAAAAGAGAAACTATACTTTCAAATATGGGTTACTTTTCAATTTCTGAACGTGTGCAAGTTGGTAAGCCAAGGTAGAATCTGGCTAACTACGAGAAGCCCACTGACTGTCACCAAAAGACACCCTAATCAGAGAGGTGACTACATTCAAGCTCAGCTTGGCCTAGAGATTGATTTCTTTGCTAACAAAGTCTTCTCCATTCTGAACTGGTTTTCTGTGGACTCTGACAATGTGCTTTTCACACACAGGGATAAAAAACACAAAACCCATGATGACTAAGATCTCTAGAAAATACACGCAGAACCAGAAGGGGAACATCAATCTTCTGACTCCACAAGCAATCTGTATCACTAGTCTCTGTGTCTTCCAGGCATGTGGCAAAAGGATACTTACCATATGAAAAGAGTGACAAGAGCAAGATGCTTCTGTCCTACATACAGCTTTTAGGGGATGATAAAGATCTCACAGACAATCTCTCCCACCCTCCACCCTATCCCACACATTGTCTGTGCCTGAAATGTGAAACTTCAGGGGACAGGAGTTCACTGCTGAGCTGTCCTCTGGATGGTGGTTTAATGTACAGAGTTGTTCTGGTACTCATAATATACCTACACATTTCTATTTAAACAGATTTATAGTGTTCTCCATGTTTAGTTACAAAAAGAACTATTTCAAACTTCTATTGCCAAGACCGTAACAGCTTTTTTCAGACCTTTGATAAAATACATGAAAAAAATCTGGGCTCCTTTTCTTTTTTGTGTTGGAAAGCACCAAAAACACTTGTCTTTTAAATAAATCAACAGATAACCTAACAGCCCTTCAGAGAGTAAAATAATTTGTGCTTGGTTCCAAATAATTTTAATTATTAAAATGCATTAAAATAATATAACACACTTTTTATTGACAGATATACTGACCTTTGGCGAGTTACATTGCTTCCGATCTGCTCTGGGTCAGAAGTAAAAGAGTCTGAACTACTGTAACCATCTGCTGACAAAGGGGATATGTCCTATTTAATAATAATCATTTCTTTACTTTTTGCTGTATAACAAACAAACATACTGTTTCAAATCAGAGCTACCTGTCAACTGTTAATACACTAACAGTTTTCATCAGTCTTACTACCTGTAAAATATTAAGTATCAATCAAATAAATCATGCATATTTCTACGGCAGACAGAATAAGTTGTGTAAAAATATTCGTATCTAATGATAGGTTTCAAATTTCCTCAGATTTTGAAATGTGTTTACATTCAGAATGGAATACCCCGCGAATGTGACCCACATCTCAACACAGAAACCATCTATTTCACATGCACCTTATACACATAAGTCTGAAGGTAACTTTATACAGTATTTGTACTGCGTCTGTGCTCGGACTGTGATCCATCACATTTAGTCAAGTATAGAATTTTTTACCATGAAGCCTTGGCAAACATTTGGGCTTCTTGAAGCACTTCAGATTTTGGATTTTCAGAGGAGGGTCAACTTATATTACATATACACACTTATTCATTTGTGTATTATCCAGTTGTATTATATTATACACAATTAGTTGTGGAATATGGAGTATGATTATTTTCTTGTTTTTCTACAAAAAGGTCACTTTGAAAAATAAATGGGAAATAATTTTAAGAAAACTCATACAATTGTTAATGTAAAAAATAAAATCTGACATGGAATAAAATATGCATATATAGTAATAAAATGTATGAAATTGGCTACAGATCCCTGATTTTCCTCCAGAGGAAATATCACTTTTAAGTTCCTCAAAGTCTCAGGAAGCAACAGGAAATCCTAGAAGTCGGCTAACAGTTCTGACAGACTAAAAAGATTTTTAAAATAGAATATTCAGAGACAATCTGAAGAAATACTTACATGCACTCTGAAGAATTATAAACTGAAGGGACTGAGTTTTTAAAATTTCATTTCAAAATGTATTTTTACTTTTTCTTGTCAAATTGCAAAATTAGTTAGCTGGTAGGAGAATGATGCTAAGCTGAACATATTTCCACTTGGATGTTCTAATAGGCACCTCAAATTTCCCATGTCCAAGACTGAAGCTGTGTTCTTTCTCTATTTACCGGGTACAGTATTTATTATCACAGCCTTCTTCACTTCTCAGCCAGAGGCAAAACCCCTGGGGCCCCAACTCCTCTCTTATGTCACACAGATAAAGCAAACCTTGTGGTCTTTTCCTATAAAATATGTAAGACAGAGCCCCAAATCTGACCACTTCTCAGCACACCACACTCTAGACCATACCATCATCTTTCCTTGCCTGGATTATTGTGACCATCACCTAAACTGTTTTTTCCTCTTCCCACTCTTGCTGATTTTTTGAGTGTTATCAGCAGAACTGCCAGAATGACTTTGTTCACCTGTGGGTTTTTCCTTTTTCTTTTTAATAATGTATTTGGTACAGGGTCTCACTATGCAGCTTGAACTCGTTGTGATCCTCCTGTTTTCAGCCTCCCTAGCACTGGGATTACCAACGGGCACCACCATGCCCGGTCTCTGTGGCCAGCTCAGGATGCTTGGGGCTGGGCTGGCGTGGGTATAGAATGTGGTGCCAGGTGGGGATCAAACCCTGGTCCATGGGCTCACCTAAGCAGGCACTTAGTCTGCTGGGCTATCTTGCTGGCCCTCACCTATGGTTTTAAGTATCTAATTACTTTCTAAAACCAGTTGTTTCTCTTTTTGTTTCCTTTACGAAATATAAACTCTACTTAGTAAAGATGTTTTTCTGTTTTGTTTACTGCTAAATCATCAGTGCTTAGAAAAGAAACTGGCATACAGCGTCTAATTAATACTGGCCGGATAAATGAATATATCTACAGTATTTTGTGAGAAAGAATGAATGAAAGAAAAAGGTTTATGCGGAAGATATCGGGGACCAAACTGAGAGGGAAGGCAAAGGGGAGAACACCTTAAGCCAGTGGCAGTGGCGACATATGGAATGCGGTGTTGGAAAGAATCAATTATCTTCTACTTAGTCTATGAAAATAGACCATCAGCTATACACTTGAGTTACTCAGACTCTAACTCCTGACTTGAGAGACTTCAACTGGAAAATGTGATGGTATCTTTCACTTACCTACAGTATTTCCAGAAGCAAATTTCACTGCTGAATTTATCTTATTTTCTTCTGAAAGGTCAGATGGTTTCACAAGTAATGGGCTAGTGGGGTTAGTATGATCTAGCAGAGAATAACAAAAATACAAGACAGGTATTTGAATTGGTAAATTCATAAGAGTTCATTTACATATTCCAGCTAAATAGCAAGTAATAAGTCAGTGAAATATAATAGTTTTAATAAAAAATGTGAATCTGTTTATATAGGATTTTATTATCTGCTGTAAAAAAGATACTTCATAATGAAAAAGTCAGCATGCATATTTACTTCGTTAATTTATATAGCAAACCTGCTTGGCAGATAGACCCAGAACGCAGGTCCAGTGAGTGAGATGACCTGGGGCCCACCAGATCCTGAATAGACCCAGAGCACAGGCCCGGTGAGTGAATGAGAAGACCGAGGGCCCTCGGACCCTGAATAGACCCAGAGCCCAGGCCCGGCATGTGAGTGAGACCACTCAGGGCCTGTGGATCTTCATTAGACCCAAGGAACCCTTCGGCAGAACTTCTTGCAAAGAGACTAGAGGCAAGACCCACCCAGCTGATTCAGGAGCAGAACATCTTGCCAGAGAGACACAAAGGGTGCAACTCTAACGGCTGCAGCAGAAAGAAGTGGAGCACGGCAACCAGATCCAAACAACACCCACCT